GAACCCCCCCAACTTTTAAAATTAAAACCCATTTATATAAAAAAAAAAAAAAAGAAAACATTCTACAGGCGGTGTAGTAACTTTGTTTATTAATAAAGATTTGAAACATGAAATATTGTAGGATCAATGTGAAAACGGAAACCACTTTTTATAGGTACATCTTGACACTTTTTCCCTGTGCATAGGTGTCATATACAAACATCAAATAGTGACAAATTTCTTGAAAACGATAACCAACACTTTACAAGAAGAAAGCGTGTTATTTTATGTTATTGTCTTTGGCGATTTTAATCTAGACCTACTTCATAACGACAAACATGTAAAAGAATATAAGGAACTATTACGAGAGAATAAAATAAGAATATTGAATAAAATCAGCACCGAATATTGCACTTGTTAAACCACATCGTAAAAACTATCATAGACCATGTATGTACTACCTTACAAAATAATACTTTCCAAACTAGTCTTCCATAGCTGATCACAAACAGGTATATCTCGAGTTAAAGATACCTAAAACCAACCGTATAAAAATTCTATATGAAGCAATGAACTATAACAACTTGCAGAACGATATCGAAGAATTTTTTCTAAATAACCTGATGAAGAGCTAGAATGGCAACGACTACAAATTATTGCAAAAGAAACAGAACAAGAAAAACAAAAACCGCCTTGCAAAGAGTGGATAAACAGGGGCATCATTGCTTTAATCAATAAAAGGAACCAACTATGGCACAGCTTAAGACAAACACCTGATGATGAAAATTTGAGAACAGAATTCATCGGCCAAAAAAACCACACTTTGTAAATATATCTATATAGCTAAAAAGCAATTTTACAAGCCTTTCACAGATTCTAAGAAATGTCCTTTAAAAATGTGTCAAATAATAAATCGGATTTGGCAGATCTTCTTGATTCTTGAACTTGATCAAATCTTAGATACTAAAAAAAAATTATGAGTATTTTAACATATTTTTCGTAACAAATGGCACTAAACGATAACATAAAATTTTAACACAAAGACTATTATACGACGCACCTAAAAACAACAATACTGAACTATCAAAATCAAAATTAAAACTAACGACAGCAGGCGAGGTACTGAAAATGATAAAAGACCTAGATTCTTACACTAGTTCCGGTTTAAATGGCATAAACACAAAATCCTCAAAGTATATTAAAGACAATATAGCAGAAAAAGTGACGGCTATTTCCCAAACACCCTAAAACGACAAAGGTTAGTCCTATTTTAAAGCCGGAAGCAACCAAGATGCAAACAATTATTGACCTATATCGGTAATTTCGGTAATGTCGAAAGTACTTGAAAAAATACTATAATATATTATACTATATTATACATAAACAACTTTATGACTATCTAACTTCTATTGATTACCTCTATAAAAAGCAATATGGCTTCCGCCCAAAGTCTAGCACTGTACATGTACATATCGTAATCATAAAGACTTATTGGGTGCGTTTGGCAAAAAAGCGCTTTTTTTGCCAAACGGTAAGCAAAATGGCGAAACTACAGAGTTTTCGGCTAGGACACGTTTGCTAACTTCAGTAGCGCTGGCACAATCCGCCATTTTGCTTATTTAATTTGTTTGTTTTGAAGTAGAGTTTATAAGTTGTTTAGTGCAATATTAGTTTTAAGTAATATAATGACAGTAAGTTTTTAATATGAATAACTTTACAAACATATATTTAAATTGGGTTAGGTTCCCCGGTTAAAACTAATTTCGTGTCCTATAGGAAAATAGCTACTTAAGATTTGACAGCGCTTACCGCTTACGATTGCCATTTTGTTTACAAGCGCTTGCTAGCGCTTTTTTCTGCCAAATGCACCCTTATCTTACTTACTTACTTACTTATCTTCACCACATCCCAACGGGTAGCCAGAAAACATCCATCAATCCTACATACCTCTTTCCTTCTTTCATTCTACTTCCCATACGTCATACCTACTCTTACCCTCCCCTCTTCGACAATTTGCTCACATTCTTCATTCTCTCTATCCACCTTTTTTTTACTTTCGCTCATTATTTTCTTCACCATTCGGTCTTCACTCATTCGTTCAACGTGCCCAAACCATTGAGTACCCCCTATCAAGAAGGTCATCTTTCAATCCTGCCATATTGCGAATCTCTTCGTTCACCCTATATTCATCAAAAAAAATATTACATTAGTTTTTTTTTGACCTAAAGAAGGCTTTTGACACAGTCATCCTTTTATTAAAACTAAAAGACAGGTATCGCAGGAAAGACAAATGATATTTTGAAATGGTACCTTTCTGTTAGGCAGATGATAGAGTCAGCCAGTGGTATTTCGGTTATATGTATATAACACACATCAACAGAATCAAGGGATATTTAACATTTCATCAAATATCTCAAAATCTATGAAGTATATTTTGATATAGTAAATGGAAGAATGAAAGGTTATTTTAAGCTGTTTAGTAAAAAATAAAAAACAATTCGTATTTTTTTTATTACCGTAGAAAATTTACAGAAGTACAACGCGGTCACATTAACTTGACGCATGGCTTTGATGACGTCATTTACAACAGTGTAACAGACATGCTAACCATACTGACGATTGCCGGGCGAGCTAAGCGAGTGCGGGAGCTAGCGGACGGGGCCTCGCATTCCAGCGATGCGTCAAGTTAATGTGACCGCAATATAGTATTCTTATAAAACATATTATTTTAAACTATAAAGTCGTAAATAATTTAAGATTAAGGTATCCCTAGATTCCGTCGATGTGTTTATATATATATATATATATATATATATATATATATATATATATATATATATATATATATATTAGCAGCAGCTGTCGGCAGATCGGCTCAACTGGAAGAAGACCTTGCTCTCACGGAACACCAGCGTACCATCCATTCTGTTACAGCCTATAAAAGTCCACTGCTGAACATAGGCCTCCCCCTAGATTGCCTCACAGGGGAGATTTTTCCATAGGACACGCTTAGCGGGTTGTCAACCGCAGTTTTATATTATTTTGAATTGCTATAAGGAAGATGCTGCTGCCCATCACCTGTTTCAATTTCCTTCCTTGCGCGTCTTACAACCCCCCGGTGCTGAAATGGAGTATTTACTTCAGGCGGATGTTCTTACACCGCCACTACACGGTGCCAGAAATACCAGCATACAATAGCAGTTTAATGCTGTTGCGTTTCGTACGGTGAGTGTAGAGAACCGATCATCTGACGAAATAAACCAAAAAGAGGTGATAACTCATCTACATTTTGATTCTTAATTGAGGATAAATGTAGGTATCTATGTGCCACAGTATTCATTTACTATCAGATAGGGTGTGTGCTCGTTTGCCACCCATATATTAAATACTGTTTTTTTAGAATTACTTTTAATTCGATCTAAGCATGTCTCACTTTATTTTAAACCATGCTTAGAGTTTAATTTTATTTTGTTAATAAACGAGAATAGGTAGACTGGGCTTACACTAATAACCTCTACTATAAAAGTACGCCGAACTGGCTATAAAAAGTGACATAATGAGGCGATTTGATTTTCGCCATTTTGGCGCTGATAGCAGAAATGAGCGTGCACGGAACTAATAATAGAGTTTTGACAAAACATATCGATAAAAATTCTACATCCAGGTCTATCGCTTGGAAGGGGAAGGGAGAGTGGATAAAATTTAATTTCACTTTATAACATACATATGCCGTAATATAGATAAACTTTTTATGAATAAGACTGTTGTAAGTATATAGTCATGGAGTACTTTATCTATAAATAAAGTACTTCATTGATTTTGCCAATATTTCCGTACATGTCGCACGGCACAGATACGTGATATATGCGGATGAAACCGCGCCAATATATATCTTACTATTCGATAGGTTTGGAAATTAATATGATGTTTTGCGTAAGCTATCCTCGAAAGTATTTGTAAAATGTAACAAAATATAACTAGATAGGCAAAATTTCCGAATATCCAAAAAAAAAAAAAAAAATACGTAAGAAACAATTCGTCCTACAGCGTTTATGTAAAACTAAAAATAGGCTACAACCGTTAGTGAATAAAAGTTGTAAGAGCCTCGCTTGCACATATTTCATTATGTCGGCGCCAGATCGCCGAGGAGTGAGCGGGCGTCACATCACCTACGTTACCAAAAACTATTTTTCTCTTAAAAGTATTTAGGCTCTTTGATTTTTGATATTGCCTGCTTCTTTGTTCTAGTGGTTGTACTAGTGTGATAGCTGATCATGAGATCCTGGATTCAAATCCCAGGTCGGGTTAAAAACAATTTATGGCACGTGGGTGAGACACCACCAATTTCCTGACTCTGGGTCAGGAAATTGGTGTCTCACCCACGTGCCTCGGAAAGCATGTAAATTCGTTGGTCCTGCCTCTGATCTCTCTCCGGTCGTGTAGAATTGCCGCCTTATCAGACTATAATATTGAGGGAATAGAGAGTACACCTATGCTTGCGCATACTTTTGGACTCTATAATACTGTTCTGCATAGATGGCTAGTCTCCGTAGAGACTTGAGACCGTTGCTGAATTTCAGTTCGTTATTTGAAGATTTTTAAATGCAAGGTATCGTTAGATTTATATTAATCGATGGAATGTCGTAGGTATATCCTTTAGTCGTGTTTTATAGTAAATTTACTGACCTCTACTTGTATATATAGAAATCAGTGAGTAAATCACATTTTTTGCTAATAGGCTGTATGGTCTAAAACCTTTGCCTGCCATATAAGGTAAATGGCGTAATAGAAACGAAATCTTTTTGGTTTCTTTCAATTTTCAATTGTGATTACTCACTTCGGTTTGATTTTATTGAATAATAACATAAAATAAATATAAATTAATAGACAGTACGTTTTATTATACTTAAACTTTAAACGCTACCTTTATTTTATGATATTACGTCGACTACTAGAGACAGTAATATACTGGATTGGTCTTAAACTTATGTTGCCGGTAATAAAATGTGTTATATTTGCAGATGTTCCTAACACGATCGGAATATGACCGAGGTGTCAATACATTTAGCCCGGAAGGAAGACTTTTTCAAGTAGAATATGCAATTGAAGCTATTAAACTTGGGTCTACTGCCATTGGGATTTGTACTTCTGAAGGAGTAGTGCTTGCTGTTGAGAAAAGGATAACTTCACCACTAATGGAACCAACAACTATAGAAAAGATAGTAGAAGTTGACCGTCATATTGCTTGTGCTGTGTCGGGGTTGATGGCTGATTCCAGGTAAATATAAGGTTGCATACATTCATACATCACCTGATTAGAATTGCCACAGCAAGTCTGCCAAAGATTTTGAATAAATGAGTAAGGATTATATCAAATTTTACTGTTTTGCTGCTACAGTAAAAGAGGTATTTTGGTCAATTCCATCATACCATGAAATAGTATGATTACTGCTATCAATGTACATAAGAAACTAAATTAACGACTTTCACGTGACAAAAGTTAATAATCAAAATACACTTTGAAGGAGACATAGAGCGGAAGGAAGGTGATGAAAATTAGACATTTAAATTGGTATCTTTATGATTAAACTTACTTGATAGGCAGCAGCATCCAAGATGCAAGACATCTGGCACTGCAATCATCACCGTGCCAAGCATTTTGTTTTGGGTAAATTTTCCTTACAAAGGGAGAGGCCAATGTCCAGCAGAGGATTTTATGGGCTAACTAGCAATCCGCCCTGACTTCACATGGGTGGGTTCTGGATCTCGACAACAACTCAACCTACCGGATCCAATTGTGAATGCAAACTATCTAGAGACCCACCGAAACAATAAATTTCATCAAAATCAGTCCAGCCATGCTCAAGTGATGATTTTTCATGCATACAGCAATTGATTTTATTTGTGTTATTCTCTATTAAAATACATATGTATTATACATATAAACCTTCCTCTTAAATCATTCTATCCATTGATGAAAACCGCATCAAACTCCAAGGCATCGTTTAAAAGATCTAAGCATACATATGGTGAAAAGCAACTTATACTATAATATTTGTGTTTTATACTATGTCGAGATAAAGAAGAAGAAATGATAAAATAGTCTTCAATTTACCAGTAAACTAGAGATGGGCCGAATATTCGTTTTATATTCGGTATTCGGCATATTCGGCAGCTTTACCGAATATTCGGTTAAATCACCGAACATTAGTTTTCATAGTGTCCAATGTATTGAAATGTACGAACTGAGTAATGCGATGTCTTTTACTGTTGAAAGTATACCTATTTTATTTATGGGTTAAATCTACTTACTCTAGAGTGCCTCAAATGCATAAATCTATATCATTTATGTTTTTGAGGCACTGTACATTTATTTCCGATTATGGCAAATAGAAACTTGATAAAATGTTTTTAGAATCAAACAAAGAAACATTAGTATATATCACTTTACTTGGGTCGTCAGTTTTTCCAAAATAAGTCCAAATACTGCCGATCACTTTTATCAATCAATTTTCACTAAGAATAAAACATTGATATGCTTTTTTTATCACAAGAAGAGTCAAAACATAAGCATGTGCCAGCAATTTGCTCAGTACTGGATAATGCAATAACTGTCAGGTGTGGCGGAGAGCGAGAGGCAGGGTCCGGCACTAATCCCGCGCCCTTTACGGTAACTAGTTTCGACATAAATTGGTTAGGTCCCGAGGTTATCCTGCCGAATAATGTTTGGCCCAATATTCGGTTCAGTAAAAATTTTACCAAACATTCGGCTGAATATTCGTATTCGGTGAAATCCATATTCGGCCCATCCCTACAATAAACACATTAGTGGACACAACAATAAACTTGTTTTGTTATTGTTCAAGATAGATGCGAGTCATTCATAAGAGAATTGACCCTGGTCACATAAGAATATATTTTTTGGCCTATCTATATATATAATATAAAATTCAATGTTAAATATCTTTATTTAATATTGAATTTTAGCCTACCTCCAATCTTTATCTATTTTATCATCTCCTCAGTTATAAAATGCTTATGCTATAAGAGTACAGGAAAACAAAAAAAATAATCTGTTATCAAATATAATGTAGATCAGCACAACTATGTTCATATAATAAATTTTGTAGACCGAAGTCCAAATAATCTACAAATTGATATAAACTATTCAGTCTGTTTTATTTATCCATAAAAATATCCTTTAAAAAAGGCTCAAATAAGACTGTTACAGCTCTAAGCACTGTTCACAGGAGAATTGCGATCGGACATGTATCACATGAGAATTATCCATTGGCAAAGTCATGGTCTTAGGGACCATCTCATTACCACTGCTTGAAGGAAACAGTGGCTTCATTCGCTCGCAACAGCAATAGGACATCATGGCCCTTAAAAACTCCTTACAATATTAGTTAGTAGAAGTATAGATTTCTGGTGCTATTCCAAAATAAGTACTAATAAATGGTTATGTCAGATTTTAAACCACATCGACAACTTCTAAATGATCAGAAATTGTTAACTGTAGCAGTCATATTATAATACCCCAACATTATGTGCAAACAGTCACTATTCGCCAACCCTCGCTTACCTGTGTCTGATATGAGATGCAGTGTTTAACTACTTATTATATATATGTCCTGACATATCATTAATTCATCCATAAATAAATAAATTTCTTTTGTTTCCAGAACACTTGTGGAGCGTGCCCGTGTAGAGTGTCAGAATCATTGGTTTGTATACAATGAGCGCATGACTGTGGAGTCCTGCGCTCAGGCTGTGTCCAACCTGGCAATACAGTTTGGTGATAGTGATGATGATAGTGGAACTGCTATGTCAAGACCATTTGGTGTTGCAGTGATGTTTGCAGGTTTGTGGTGAATCATTCACTTTTTAAGGCTGCTTAGTCTTAAAATGATCAAGTGTCTCCCTAAAGTTATGTTTAAAGATGAACTTGGACAAGACCATGTGTTATCCTAAATCAGTAATTGCTGGGAACACTATGCTTAAAGTGGTCTAGGAGTATGTTAACCTAGGAGAAATTTGTCATAATTCAATGGCAAGGTCAATTGATATATATCCAATTCAGCTTCTCATCCCATATTCCTCAAACCACTTAATAACTATTACAACTTAATTACCATTGAATAAAATTGCACAATGTCAAACCATGAGAAATTTAGTTACAGAAGTAGATATATTTTAACTTAACATATTTGTAAAAGATAATCAACTTAATACTTAATTAACACTTTAATTATTTAATTGAGAGTTATAAGTACAACTATTTTGTTATTTAGGCATAGATGAAAAGGGCCCACAACTGTTCCATATGGATCCTAGTGGAACATTTGTCCAGTATGATGCTAAAGCTATTGGCTCGGGCAGTGAAGGAGCTCAACAGAGTTTGAAGGTAAAGTTATGGGAGTAACATGTGTTGCTGGTAGTAATTATGTGACTTATAAGTTTTAATCAATAGCTAGAAACTGTTCCATGACTTAATTATTTTTCTTTTTCAGGAAGTGTATCACAAGTCAATGACTTTGAAAGAGGCAATCAAGTCAGCTTTGACAATTCTGAAGCAAGTAATGGAGGAGAAACTATCTGAAAATAATGTAGAAGTTGTGACAATGACTCCTGGCTCTATGTTCCATATGTTCACAAGGGAACAGCTCGCAGAGGTCATTAAAGATATACCTTAAGTTGGTTAGTTGTCATGTAGGCATGGTTACTGTTTATTTTTGTCATCTGTATGTTCACTGAACACAAATATTATTAATAAATAGCAAGGCAACATTTAAAGTAAAAAACCATGCCTACTTTCAACTTTTAGAGTATAATAGAGTACTATTTGAAGTAAATTGTATTTAATTTTTTTAAGTATTTATGTATTTTTACTAGTTATACCACTTTAGATTTTTTTAATCATGTCATAAAAGTAGCTTAAATTATTGAAAAACCATAACTTTTTCATATTGGCATATTTGTTGACACTGTTTATTAATAATACAATTTTATTCAAATACTACTCCTGAGGTGCGGTTTTGTCAAGAATCTTACAGTAAGTATCCAACGTTTAATAAAAAAACTCTTAAATTAGTAGCTTGTTTGATTTCATTCTCATATCAAGTAGATATAGTAGTATATTAGATGCAAGTAGAGCCTTATTCATGTATGTCAGTCAGTTGGTAGTTTTTGGTAACACCTAGGTCTTATGTTCTAACTTAGACCGAGAGATCAATCGACCAATCCCACTTTTGGGAAGTGTTTGGGAGATTGCTGCACATTTATTTGTCACGCATTCCTCAACCTTGCAAAAAAGGCTTACAACCAGTTTGAGTTGGCAGTGGTTACATAATATGGGTCAAGATCTTCACATCCTTCACTATGAGGGCTGTGTTCGGAATTATTCTGTGTGATAGAATTCATATTGAGGATATTTGCAGTAGAAAAAACGTATTTGACATAACATATGGTCAAGAAAAGTAACCTTGTCAGTAAGAGAAGTGTAGCATTGTGCAATGGTCACTTTTCTTTATCAGCTTGTTACAGTCCATCGTGATAAAGTACAATTCTTTTCTAGAGTAAGGTTTGTCATAATCACTAGGTTCCGCAAGAGGATTACTGATTGATTAACTAGATGTTAATTATTGATACTCTTTTGAACTCTGATCAAAGTATTTCATCTGTGCTAGATGTAAAATGCCCACATAATACATGGCTAGTGCTATTAGGGCAATGAAGATCCTTACCACACATGTGAGACTAAATGGAGTGATGAATTCTCTTATATTGTCACCACACGGTATATTAAGTAGTAGTGCTTTATTAATAAAAAAAAAAAGATTATTCTAATGTATAAAAAGAATGAAGAGGAATCACGTCGACGTGTCACGCAATAAGTAGCATTGATAGCCCAATTGTTAATGAACATACAAAGACTGCCCAAATTTACATAAAATGTTGTAGAAGTCAAAAAAAGATGGAGGAAAGCCCTTCGCAAAATTCATTTAGGAATATGGCACCAGAGTGACGCGCAAGCACAGATGCATAATATATTCCCTCAACCTCATTCCGATGGGATGGTTATTTGACATGACTGAAGAGAGATCAGGTGCAGGACTACTGGGGATGTAAGGCCCGGACTCCACTAAAGCGGAGATCCGAAGCTGTGCGTAGATGCGTACTGACTAGACTGGAGCGGAGATGTGTGCTGGGAACTGAACTGCGTACGGCGAGCGTTGGATATTGAAATGAACGCACAGTTTAGCGCAATCTGACACGAAAGGCAGACGTTTTAGTAATGTCACTATTACAAAACTGCACGCCGCTAACATCTCTTCTAGTCTCCGCTGTACACCTTTGCCAGCCTCCGAGGCACAGCTGACATCTACGCTTTGTATCGCTGCCCAACTCAATCTCGGCGATGCACAGCTCATCTCCACTTCGATCGCGCTATTCAAATATGATAAATCTCCGCTCAGTGGTATCCACTGAAGCTGAGTGGAGACGAGATGTGTGAATAACGAAATTTTATTGATTTTTTAAAAGCTCATCTCCTGTCCTCTCGTCTTACTTCTTCCTCCGTCTCCAACTTCCTTACTTCTTTTCCGTCTTCAACTTTCTTACTTCGGGCTGCTACTGAGAATTTAATGACAGAAAAACCCAATAACTGATTTTGACCCGACTCGGGATTCGAACGTGGGACTTCAAGATCACGTGTCGCGTTTGCGACCACTAGACTAATGAGGCAGATTTTTCAGCACGGAAGTAAATAAAATTATAACATCATGTCAGGCAACGAAAAAATGACATTTACGTTTCGCACGGTACACAGTCTAGGTTGTTCAGACTTTGTTTTGGCAGTCTGATGAGTCTCCAAAACATTATCTTATTTGTCTAAAATATTACCAGATAGTCTTTTTAATTCTTTTCTTTCTACTTTCAATTCATGTTAATTCAGATGTGTTTGATTTAAGATACTATTATAGTTACCAAGTTAGTTGTTACTTGACAACGATAATAGTGACTATAGTTCGTGTCAAATTGAGAATAACGTACATTGACCTTTCGGTCGTTTAACCAGGGGCTACAAATACAAACCTTCAATATATAGGCACTTTTTATATGTAGTACTTTCTTTATTTATAATGATTTTTTTATTTCTTTTATTTATAATGATTGATATAATATATATTTATTAACTATTATTAAAAAGTTATGTAAGATCGCTGTAGAAGAAAAATCATCTATTGTTATAAAGTACTTTATTCATTTAACAACAAAAAACATTAATTTATAACACATATAAAGATTCGAGTGATAACGACACCGAATAAGTACGTACTTATTCAAAAGATAAAACTTTATTTTCAATATTATATAAGAACTTTATTTTTAATCGGTGCATGCGGGCCGGCCCAAAAAAGTGACGCATCTCTGGCTGCCACTGTCACGTTTCTTTTAGAACGAACTGACGTAACGCGCGTTTTGTTTATTTTAAAGGGATGAATTTGGAAAAGCTCAATATGGTGATTATATTGCTTCAAATATTCTTTTTATTATGAAACTATTATTAAATGAATTACTGCGTTACTTACCATAAATTGAAATATAAAATATAACACATTTTTCGCGATGCACCATAAGATTTTACGATGGTTATAGGAACCACAGACAATATTTAAGAAACAAAACATATATGCTGATCTAGAAGTGTGAATAATATCAATATTTAAATATTGTTATCACATTGAAATTGAGATTTTGTAGGTTACGCCTTTTGACACTCGGCTCATATCTGAGGTCATCGTCCGTTTTTCTCAATCGATTTAGCACGAACTGTAGTTAATTGATAAGGCGCGGAACTGTCATTCTCGTGCTAGTTCACATCAAAGCTAGTTTCCTTGCTTAATCCCTCACCGGCTCGATACGGTCCCACTACTAATGTAGTCTCACTGAACACGAGAAAACGTCCATAGCCTAGTATATTAACAGGATCTGTTCTGTGCCCCTTTGGGCCAAGCATAGAATAAAAACCGGCCAAGAGCGTGTCGGGCCACGCTCAGTGTAGGGTTCCGTAGTTTCCCGTCCGTCACAATAAGTGTTCCCACTTATAAGTTTAAAGGTGAGTATCCATTATGTTCAAGCTCCAGCAGCGCTCTGCGCTCCTGCAACTGCTCCCGGTAGTGGGTACTGTTGTTTCCATCCAAGATCAAAATGATTTTCCTAGAAAGTCCTTATAAAGTTCTACTTTTCAGATTTTTTTCATATTTTCTAAACTTATGGTTCAAAAGTTAGAGGGGGGGGGGACACATTGTTTTTTACTTTTGGAGCGATTATTTCCGAAATTATTGCCATTATCAAAAAATGATTTTAGTAAACCCCTATTCATTTTTAAATACCTTTCCAACAATATATCACACGTTAGGGTTGAAATTAAAAAAAAATCACATCCCACTTTACATATAGGAACCCTAATAAAACATTTTTTTTCCAATTTTTATTTTACCACTTTGTCGGCGTGAATTTCAGCTTTCTAGTGCTAACGGTCACAGAGATTAAGCGAGGACGGACAGACGGACAGACAGACATGGCGAAACTATAAGGGTTCCTAGTTGACTACGGAACCCTAAAAAATGTATCTATAACACTGTTAAAAAGAAGCTAAGGAGTATAGGTGGGGGTCCTTGAAAATTTCTTTTTTCTTTTATAAGGCAGTGCTTGACTACTATCCCAGGGTATGGTAAGTGGTGATGCAGCCGAAAATGGCAAAGCGCACTAACTTAGCTTAACAAAAGCCTATTTACCTCCCTCATTGTAATCGAATGGAAAGAGACATGCTGACATATTATTCCACTCCTTTGCTGTATATATTATGGACGATGAAGCAAACCGCTCGGTATTCGAACGCATAGTATGTCGACAACAAAATGGTGGGAGACCAGCTAGGTTGGTGATCCGATGATAGAATGGAAAGGGAGGAATTAAGTCATGCAATTCCACTCTCAGAAATGTATTCTGTAATACACCGAAAGGCTGGCTACTTTGCGTCTGTGCTTGAGGCTGGTAAGATTGATTCTAACAATAGTGTTGTCACCAATAAGCCTCTTAACACCCCTTCCATTGAGTCCAAACACGCTAGGTGGTATTTTGCAGCACCAGCCCGTATATGTCAGCAATACTCTATTCACGACAGGACTTGTGCTTTATGTAGTGTAAACAACTAACCCGGCGTGAAGTATTGCCGTCCCTGCTAGTCCTGAGCAGGGACGGCAAAACCAAAGCTCAGGTTCGAAGAAACCTCAACCCGCAGCAAATGAAGGCGGTCGGTGAATTTGATATATTTTGGAAAGAAGGAGCGAAGGTGAGCTAGCCCCTTTTCACTATTGGAGGCGTAGAATCTCATGAGATTGACATCGTCCTATTCGGAGACTGCTTGTAGTGAGAGAATTTTGCCTAACTATACCATACTCGAGCTCAAGCACTATGGCATCACCCCTACATGAAAATACGATTCTATTCCTTAAAGTTATCCACTTTAGTCATCAGTCAGAGACTCAAGTATCATCAATATGACAGAATAAGATGTATACTTCCCACAGTTGGGCCTACAGGCCTTATTTCATTTCGGAGATATTTATGAGCAATTAGTTAGCTAACTAAACAATTTTAATGTTGCCGGCGGGGGCCGAAACTGATTTGCTCGCCTACTGTGTTTATGTTTAGCGTAGACTAAGGTAAATGAAAAAAAAAATGTCTTCCCCCTTAATTTTCATATATACTAACTACTACTACAAATTTTAAAGCAGAATAATGGTAGCCAGTGTGATTTCTGCACTATGTTTAAATTTAAAAAAAATTATTACTTATTTATATTATTAGCATGATTGATAATAACCCCAGGGAATGAAGGATCGCTACCTTGCTGTTTCTAAATGTTTTTATGCATATTTGTTTAAAATCTTATATTGTAAATGAATGTTTAAAAAATCTTGGCGGTTCTTCCCAGGATAGAGATTTTTCCGAACAAATGGTAAAAGCTTGTAATCTATATTGAATAAAAATATATCCATTCTATAATTTATCGCAATGTTTATTAATGCAGCTGATTGCGGCGAATCCAGAGCTTCAATGGAGTGAGAGTTCAAGGAACACCATTCAAGACCTATCCAAGTTACGACTCGGAAGTCAAACATGTTAAACAATTCTATTAAAGTTCTTTGATTATAAATTGGACTTTTCCTTATCTTTAGATCTTTGGAACGCTTATAGCTCCTTAGGCCTTTGCTTAACTCACTCTGCCTTGATCTTTTGAGTCATTTTAGCGTGGAGCATGACTTAGTCTTAATAACTAGCTAATGCATAGCTCTTGCCAGAACCAGACCTCAGACCAGAATTACAAACGAGCTTGCATACACAACAAAGAATACTACATATAAGAATACATACAGTATGTGGACATTTCTTTACATTAGTGAAGATGAAGATATGCCTCACAATAATTGTGAATTTATACATGGTAGAGCCTCGCTGCAGCTATATTATGATTGTAGCACTAATAGATCGGCTCGACCGGGGAAGGACCACGCTCTCACAGAATACCAACGTAAAATAGCAGATTAAAGCTAAGCTAGTGTAGAGAACCCGAGACCCTTTTTACTGGAAACCCGGCATTCTATCGGCGTGACAACACATCTGCATTTTGATTCTTAATATAGATAAATGTGGATGTCTATGGGTTACACCATAAGGTGGACTGTGCATGTTTGTCACCCTATTCTGTAATTTGAAACAATTCGCCCTACATATTTGTTAAAAAATAAAACTCACTGACATGCTCTATACAAAAAGGCGCATGCTACAATATATTAAACTGTTATATATGTATAGTATGATTTAATGGATATTAAAAACTTTATTTTTCGCGTTTTGGAGCATTGGCAGCTCAGGGACCAGGCGCTAGGCTTAAATTTTACAGTACGAAAAAACTGGAATTTGATCCCAATGACATTGCTTAAATCGCATTTTGTGATGATGTATTAATTGCCCGGCGTTGAAATAAACCAAAAATCGTTTGTTCGTGACTTCATAAGGTAGTCGGCTTGTCTCCGAAAGTTAAGGTATAGAATATGTGATGTCCCCCAACATGTGCAGTGCGGCAGAAGTTTCCTTCTCCATAACCCAAAGAGAGAGAAGGTATCGGCCTGCACTGTTAGTTGCTTGTAACGGGTAAAAGTATAACCTTTCATCATCATCATCATGATGATGATGAAAGGTTATTATTATTATTACGTTTACGTTATTAAAAACAAACACTACAATAATGTGTGTAACAATTTTATTAAAAATATTAAAAGTGTGATATAAAATGTTTCCCCTTAAAGTAATTACAATATTACGAAACCTTTTAAATAACAAAGATGAATTTACTACACTCTTAAGTAGTTTAAGTACCACCTACATTATAACAATAACATTTTCATATTTTAAATTTATTTACATTGTTAAAAATGTATTTAGTAAATTTTAGGAATAATTTATACAAACATATTTCGTGCGAATTAAAAAGATCAAAAAATAAATTCGCCCTTATAAATTAGTTTGTTCAATAAATATATGACTAAAATAGTTTCATTGAAATGTTAATAATTGGATTACGAAAAATATCTGTAAAATCACTTAACCAATTAATTCACATGAGCGTTCTGAAAAACTTCACTCAGATATCGCTGGTGGTCATAGATACTAAGCCTATGGTTGTTATTCCACCAATAATGTCAAATTTTTCGCTTACCAGATGCCGCTCGTTGGAATGTTTTACAAAGAAGTTGCGTTATTAACAAAAGTATCAGTTTTTAAAATATGTAAAATATACAAAACATTGCCTCAGTGGTTTGCTCTTTAATATATTTGCAAATTTCTAACTCTTTAATTTTTTTACTTTTCATACTATAAATAGTTTTATTTATTAATTTTAAATTTACAATATAGCTAATATTTCAGAAAGAAATTACATTTTCAACATTAACCTTACATTTTCCTAACAAATTTATTCCTCCGCCATGAAATCTGATAAATATTTTCACCTAGTTTCAGTGACATCGCCGCGGTGGCAGAAGACGTGGATACCCTCATTAACGTAGGCAAATATCTTAAACCACACAGCCTAGCCTGATGTGTATTTTATTCACAAAATTCTTTTCAATATTCGCACATTGAAAAGAATTTAAAATTAATAACTAACAAAAAAATAATAGTAATAAACTTAAATTTAATACCTCACATTAAGAAGACTGAGAGATTCTCAAAAAATTTGATATTTATATCACCACTGAAGCACTTGTAATGTTTCTACTGATAGTTTAAATGCACAAACATTTAATACATAAAATCGTAGCATTTTAGCGTATCAAAATCAAGTTCAATTTAAAATCGGTAAAATTTATGATTTTCTTTCATAATGAAGTTTGACGTTTTTTAAATGTCTATTTCAAAAATTTACATACGTATTTCACATATGTCACTTTAGTAATATAGCAACGTTACTTTTGACAATATTAACAACACATAAATTTGTACTTTCTATTAAAAATTTTGTAATATCACAAATTACCGTACTTAAAATTTAATAAGTTTGTGTTAGATTATTTATTGTTTATTTGTGGATTTAGTTGTTGCACTTATTGCATTACAAACTATACCTATACATATAATAATATTAAAAATCAATTTCTTTTCACCAATATTTAGCTAGTAACGGCTCCAGATCTAATGGATTCAGATTTGGTCCAAGTCTCTCAACAGGCACCCCATTCTTATCAACAATAAACTTGGAAAAGTTCCATTTAATAAAATCGCCCATTGTTCCTCTTTGAACACGTTTGAGGAACTTGAATAGCGGATGTGCATTTTCTCCATTCACATCTACTTTTTCAAATAAATCAAATTTTACACCTCTGCTCTTGGTAAATGTCAAAATATCTTTGGGAGTTCCAGGTTCCTGTCCGCCAAATTGGTTACAAGGGAATGCGAGAATTCGTAAGTTCTTAGTTGTCGAATACTTTTCGTACAACTCATTTAGCTGTTTGTAATTAGTGTCTGTAAGCCCGCATTCAGATGCTACATTTACTATTAATACCACATGACCCTTATACTTGTCTAATTTTACATATTTTCCATGTATGTCTTTTACAGTGAATTCATATATAGTTTTTGCAGTTTCATAATCAGGTAATTTGTTATCAATTGTTGCTTCTTCGGTATTCCTGTAAATTCAAATTTAATTGAAATGTGAATATTGTGCTTAAAACAATTATGAAAAGAATAGCCCCATTATCACTTGTTGTATTCAAATATAACTGACTTTATAAAAAGGCAAACCTAGATATAGATATTTTTTCATACAGTGTTAGTCAATTTCAAGTGAATGTTGAAAAGCACGATGATAATAAATTAAACAACCATATTAAATATAGCTTTATCTTATGGTTTTACTTAAAATGTTTTTTTATTTTATTTTATATTTGTCTTTTGTTTTAACAAAATTTCAATCTAACACAACAAATTTTTAGTTTTGTTTTTAAATAAAATAATTGCACGCACGCACGCACACGCACGCACGCACGCACGCACGCACGCACACACGCACGCACGCACGCACGCACGCTCGCACACACACATATATAACTGAAATGGTCTTTCTATGTACTTATTTATTTATTTACACTTAATACAGTAAATATTACAATAAATAAATACCTTCCATCTATTTTTTTGCATTTCAATCATACATTTTTCCTGTCATGCTTTTTTTTTTTTTTTGCGGATGGAAAATCATCTAATGACCCCTTTCGCTCTGGGTGGAGCGTAAGGGAGTGTCAGACTTTTACTGACTAAAAACCATCCGTGTTCCTTCAGTGCCCTTACGTTCCGGAGCCGCGGTATCTCTTTCGAACAGCCCGCAGCCCCGGCAGGCGTCGGCCCTTGCGGGCCCCTTCACGCTGCTGACAGCTCTTTGAGGCGCGCGTGGAACAAAACGCGCCGTCGACACGGCCTGTCGTCGTTAGACGGACGGACGACGAGCTACCCATTGCTCGCCGTCCACAGGCCCGCGCCTACGGTGGCCGGGGGCCACGACATAGCCCCCGACGCCCGGGGCGTCTCTCGCGGCGGCCGGGGAGGAAAGCTGCTGCTCTCTCCTTCTCCCGCTCCGCCACCTCCTTCGCTAGCATCACTGCTTCGCAGAAGGTGGTGACGGCATCCCATTCCGTCTCGCTCCGGACCATGGCTTCGACCAGGGCCGGACGCGAGAGGTCGCCGCCGCCTATCGCCGCTACGAGGACACGGCGGTGCTCCGCCCAAGCAGGGCACACCTCCACGGTGTGTTCCACCGTGTCCTCCGGTCCATCGTGTCATGCTGTGATAAGATTTTCTTAACACTAACAATAGAAAATGCAATGTTCCACATCACTATGCAAGTATACTTTATAAATTAAATAACTTAAATATTTCTTTTTTACTTTCCTTTATATCCCCCAAAACTATCCATCTTAAGTATGTAACTTATGTAAATTACGAGGGGCACTCTGAAATGATCGGGAATAGAATATTTCGAATTGAGTTACAATAAAACCTTTAACAGAAATGGAGCTCACGCATGAACATTTCCGTGCCATAATTTATCACAATTTTCGTCGCGACTTATCTCAAGATAAATGTCTCAGCGAACTTGTTTCGATTTATGATGTTGAAGCACCGAGTCAAACGACAATATACCGCTGGTATGCCGAGTTCCGACGCGGTTGTGTGTCGCTCAGCACTGTTTCTTCTGCAGGTCGACCAAGAACAGCGGTCACGCCCGAAAAAATCGCAGCTGTGCGAACTATTATATTAGATGACCGTCATGTGACATACGAGCAGATTCGGGCTGTTGTTAGTATCGGAATGACTACAATTCAGTTGATATTACATAATGAGCTGTGTGTAAGAAAGCTAGTTTCCCACTGGGTTCCCCACAATTTGTCCGAAGAGAAATAGGTGGCTCGTGTTGATTGGTGCTGGAATACTCTTCAACGCTTCAACAGAGGGAAGTGAAATGCTGTTTATAATATCGTCTCAGGTGAAGAATCATGGATTTATTCATACGAACCTGAAAGAAAACACCAGTCAGCAGTTTGGGTCTCTGAACACGAGGTCAAACCAACGAAAGTGGTTCGCTCCCGCAGCGTGTCAAAGAAAATAGTCGCTACGTTTGTCTCAAAAAGGAGCATGTTGCTACAATTCCTTTACAGGAACGCAGAACGGTTACCGCTGAGTGGTATATCACGGTTTGTTTGCCAGAAATGATAGCCGAACTTCGAAAAAATAACCCGAAACGTCGCATCATCTTACATCACGATAATGCGAGCTCCCATACGGCTCGGAAGACAAACGATTTTTTGAAGCAGGAAATCATTGAGCTGATAAGCCATCCTCTGTACAGTCCTGACCTGAGCCCAAACGATTTTTTTACATTCCCTAAAATGAAAGATTTATTAAGCAGTCAACGGTTTGAAGACCCCGAAGCAGCTGTGGAAGCGTACAAATCAGCCATTTTGTCAACATCAATTTCAGACTGGAATTACTGTTTTAATGATTGGTTTGCATGAATGGGAAAGTTGAACGGAGAATACTTCGAAAAACAATAAAATTCAATTCAGCTATACCGTGCAAGTGGTTTTTCTTATTCCCGATCATTTCAGTGTGCCCCTCATATTAAGTAAGCAAAGTATAAAGGGAAAAATGTCTTACCTTTGTTGATTATGAAATTGTCTGAATGTATCGACGGCTTGGAATATGTCATTGGCCAATATGTCAGGATTTTCAAAAGCTGCAAAATGCCCTCCATCCTCAACCACAGTGCTTTGAAGGTAGTTCTTATATTTCAACTTCAGAATGCAGTCTGGATGGAATGCGATCTCGTGTTTAAATTTAATACCCCAGGTTGGCACTGATGTTGGAATTCTACAAATTAAGTGAATTTGTGTAAAGCTCGTTGTATTCATCTTACTACTGGCTTGGTTAGACCTTTAGCCGAACCAACCTGTCTCAAATGTTTCTAGCTAGAGATTTTCTTTAAGGTTTTTACGTGGTAGAGCCATGCTGCAGTTATATTAGTAGTATAGTTGCAGCACGAATGTCCTTCCCCGATCAAGCCGGTCGGCTCGACCGGGGAAGGACCACGCTCTCACAGAATACCAGCGTCAAATAGTGCTTTATGCTGCTGTGTTTCGTATGGTGATTGTAGAGAACCAGAGACGCTTTTTACTGGAAACTAGGCATTCCACCTAAGACCTCACGAATGACAACGCATCTGCATTTTGATTCGTAATCGAGGATAGATGTAGATGTCTATGGGCCACAGCAACCATTTACTATCAGGTGGACTGTGTGCTCGTTTGTCACCCTATCCTATATAAAAAATTGTATTATATGATACATTTCTCTTTCACTATTAAATATGTGGTAATCCTACCGGTTGATAAGGAACAGAAAGGAATTTATTATTCACAAAGCTTTTTATATATTCAACAACATTACAATCAAGTTAATATAATTTCACTATAACTAGGATACATAGATTTTAATAAGTCCGATTCATACAATACCATACCGATACAATAAGTTTTTAAACCATTTAGGGACACAAAAAATAATCAAAATCAGTCGAGCCATATTCGATCTTTTGGGAGACTAACGGACAGTAATCAATTTTTATATAAAAAAACGATATAGATTATATGATATATATATATATATATATATATAAACTACATAAGATTTTTTTTAAAAACAACATGAAAAATAGCATCCATTGACGAACTAGGCTAAAACCACCACCACTCCACACATAATAAACATAAATTATTTATTTATATTATGGAAAAATTACAAAACTTTATTCTTTATAATACAAATAAGTAATTGCTAATCTTCTTCTAGTCCTGGTAAAATTATAAATGTGAAAGTTTGTATGGATTATTGTATGTTTATGGCTCAATCGCACAAAAGCTATTGAACGAGATCTGATGAAACTTGGCAATATTATGATAAAAAACCAGAATAGGATATGGGATATACATTTTGTACATACAGTATGAGTCTATCCTAATTTAAACTTTTTTAATCTATGTTGCTAAAAATTTACAACTAAAATTTATTAATGAATTGGCGTTCTTTTATAGAATAAGAGGGACGAACAAACACACCGTCCACCTGATGGTAAGTGAATTCTGTCATCAACATCTATCCTCGACTAAGAATTAAAATGCAGATGAGAGATGAGACTAAGATGGCATGTCTCGTTTCCAGTAAATAGGGTCTCTGGTTATCTACACTCATCATAGGAAACGGCTGCATTAAGCTTCTATTTTACACTGGCATTCTGCGAGAGCATGGGACCTCCCAGGTCGAGTCGACCTATTTGTGCAACAACCATAATATAGCTGCAGCCACCATGATAGAGGACTGATGATGTTAGATAGACTTCTGGCAGAAGTAGTTCTCATTAGTAGTTTTAGTGACGTAGGCACATGGCTTTCGGCGAGTTTACGGGCCTGAACTAGTTACATTTCTACATTGTTCTGTAAATAAAAATGACTTACTCGGCTAACTTGAGACTGAGCTCCTCTTTATTGAAAGATTCAGCATACATTCTCATTGACGTAGTTATACTGTTAGAAGCCCAATATACCATGACGTTATCTAAGAGATGTGTTAGTGAATATTTTGCCAGAAGGTTCCCATCATTTGCTTTTTTGTAATCAGGATTTGTCCATGTAGAAAACTTTTCTAGAATGTATGCGGCTAAACCAGCTGGAGAGTCCGTCAGAGCCGTACCTGTAAATTTTATAAGAGAATAATGGTTATAATAATATGTAGATGAAATTAAAATTGGCGTCACAATACCAAAATAACATATTGTAAACTAAACTAAACAAAACTTTTCTGCTATTATAAAGAAGTATAACCATTTCTCGAAATTTCTCTTAGGATTTTTTACTAAATATTTCATATCAAAATTTATAACATTTTATGGGCTATTTTGTAAAAAAAAACCCAATGATATTATACATTTAACGAAACTGACAGTTATAAGAGAGCCGTGGTAGCCTCAAGGGTTCAGCGCTCACTGTAAAATTCACAGTACGCAAGAAACTTGGGTTCGATCCCCGCCGCACCAATGAAATTGTTAATTGCAATTTTAAGTGCCGATTTACCTCGTGCTCGGCGGTGAAGGAAAATCCGCATGTCTGAGAAATAAGAGAAAAAATATTTCGCAGACATGTGAACTTCGCCAACACTGCCTGTGCCTAGCAGAGGGACGTATATAGGCTGTAACTTTAACCTTTAACAGTTATAGAATTGCAAGTCGTGTCAAATTAAAATTAAAACAAAAATAGAAGAAAAGTTAACAAGCACACAATCACATCTAATCTATCTAGTAGTAGTTTCTCAACCCACCAACTGTATCAGGCTTGGTTGCTTGGATGTGCAAATAACCTGATTCTTCCAGCAATCGTGCCATGTGTTCACGCAATGGATACATACGATACTGCAACTCCGGTTCCACAATGAGACCGGGCCAGAATGAACCTAGTGTTTGAAAAAAGGAAGACATTCGTTATTATTTTTATTATACAATACACACAATACAATAACTTTATTTCAGGAATTAAGGACTTAAAAATTAAGAACATTGGCTCATAACAATATCCTATACTTTTAAACGAGCAATTCTTGTATATATATATATAATCGGAATCTCGGAAACAGCTCCAACGATTTTCATAAAATTTAGTGTCCAGGGGCTTTCGGGGGGCAATAAATCGATCGAATCGATAGAAAATGTCGTTTTGTCCGTGTTTTCAGTCAATGAAAAACTGCTACAATATAAGAAGGTAAATTTTGACACTGTGTTAATGAACGTAATAGCTCAAGTGTATATCGGGCCGTCGCGAAACCGTAGTGCGCTGGTTCGCGTCCTGTCTTTGGTCTGACTTTTTTACCTTTTTTTTAAGTTCCCTTCTTTTTTGAGAAAATCTATTATTTCGAGCCCCTTTTTTTTGTATTTTTTTAAAAAACACGAAAATTTAAATTAAACTAATTGCTCTCATGATTTTTTATTTAAATAACCAGTTCAGTTTTTTCAATTATGTCGGTAAAATAAAATAATATCACCTATTCATATTTCATTAGTATGTAATTTGTATCTAAATATAATTAAAAAAATATACCGAGCCAAGCTCGGTCGTCCAGGTACTATACCTTAAACTAAAAATATATAAATATAATAGCCACTTACTATAATGTAGATGAGCTAATCATCTACATTATAGTATAACTGGCTATTCTAGCTCACGAGCGCTTGATATCAATTCCAAAAAAGAAGAATACACTATAACTACTGTCCTTAATGAATTGTAAAGGGAAATGAAAGTATTGATTCAAAGTTTAGTCCTTACGGCAACCAGCAATACTCAACAGTAAGCTTTTGTATGTTTTCTATTGACATTTGTAAAGGGAAATTTTGTGAGGAAAAGAGAGAGAAAGAGTAAAATGAGAGTTCGGTGTGCATGACAAGCACACTCTCTTGTAAAACAGGGTTGGTGAGTGTTGGTTGTAAGAGTTGTTAAGGAAAAAACTATCCATGGAAGATAAAAAATTTCAAAAACTGTACAAAGGACATCCTTAATATAGAAGTAAAAAGATAGCTTTTATATTAGTAACATTATATAAAGAATTTGAATACATTTATTTACTTAACATAACACTGAAATAAAAGAAAGAAGGAGTATTTATAATTTTTCTATAACCAAGTTTAAATGATAAAAAATATTCTATTATATTCCTCACATCATTAACCAGATACAAAGCATGTATTCATTTTTTCTCTAATGAAATATATTTATTTAATTCAATATCTTAGTTAAAGTTAGAACAGAAACAAAGGTAGAGGATATATTATAAATGTATAATGTAAAAGTATAATGCAAAAATTAAAAAATGCTTAAAATGATAATTGACAGACATACTCGTAACTAAGACTACTCCATTTTTTTCTTTACCTAGGATGTGGTATTGTTTTAAAAGAAGAAAAGCTAGACAACAAAGAATATGGGAAGATCTAGCTTATACCCGCTCACTTCGCTGGGCGCACGATAATATTTTATTGCGGAACCTAGATGTAAAAAATGAAAAATATCAAGAAAATTTCTTCTTTGATGGGATTATCGTAAAATCCGTTCTTAGTGAGTGTCTACAGCCAGTGGTAATTCGCATTATAAATGTAAAAGAAAAACAAAAACAAACACATACCTAAGAATACATACAAGTTCGCCATTGTGTTGAACGTGACTGTTGGCATGTTAGTGTGGAACCCAAGCACCTTATCCGGAAACAATGTCGCCATTATTGAGCCCACTATGTGTCCGAAATCACCGCCTTGAATATAGTAGTGTTCATGACCAATTCGTTTCATTAAATTATCCAGTATGACTGCTACTTTTGATGGGCTCAAGCCTGGCCGAGCAGCTCCCTGGAACAGAAGCCCCGGATAAAGATCTATCAACTAACTAATGACCATCTTACAATGTGGTAAAGGCATACTCTGACTATATTATTGTTGCAGCCCAAATGAGACAGCTCAACCAGGAAAGGACAACTCTTTTACAGAATAGCAGCATAAAATGCTGTTGTGCTTCATATCACAAGTTTCATATAGAAAACGACACTCGTTACTTGTATTAGTAATCTACCATTGTTTTTGTGATTTGGATGGATTATTGGGTAAATAAGTACATACTTGTTTCACATATATTTAATTTATAAAATATAAAAACAACCTGTTTAGCTTCACAGCATATAAATAATGCTGACAGGGTGTATAAATATTAAGAACAATGAACATATCTTCAATTAATAAATTTGGGAGATTTATTCTCAAAATTCCTCCAACATTTAAAACTTACTTGTGAAAATCCAAATCCAGGTAAGCTTGGCACAATGAGCTCAAAGACGAAATTGTACCCTGGTGTGGGAGTTGTCAATTTTGGGATGATCTCATAGAATTCTCTGATAGAGCCTGGCCAGCCATGGAGTAGTAACAAAGGCACTACCTGTAATGTGTTAAAAGCACAAACTAATAAGAAGAACTACTGTAATTAAAATAGCTTTAGCTAGATTGATACTTTGATTTTGTCTATGTTTTAAAATATAAATGTTAATGAAATATAACTAATACTACTAATAACTTGGTAAGGGGATACAAAATATCTTGTTGCCTTCTGTTGTAAAATTCTATCAAGTGAGGCTATAAATTGTAAAGAAAAAGATTTCAAGCCTAGTAGTATTATTTTTAAAAAATTTTTTTATATACTGCATGTATTATCATCCAACAGACCTAAAATGGTAAAAGATCATTTTTGATTTTGTCCTGTGCATATTGTAAGCAAAATGCCAAAAATATTTCATGGCTTTTTAAGGACATTTCAGGAACCATGTCCAACAGTGGAATTTCATGAGCTAGGAAGTGGAACGAATGGTTTTACATAGGACATAATATGTAATATACAAACATCCAGATTGGAGAACCAACAATTTTTAGATGACCTCCATGTACAAGTTAGATATTCTAACTAATGATGCCACTGCAGCTTTTGGCTTTAGCAATCGGATATTTCGCTGCTCACTTCCCGTTTCATTTTACTCTGTAGCCTGTCACAAGACACCCAAATAAAGGGTAGTGAATTATCTTACGCCGCTAATAAATATATATATATATATAATATTTTATATGTTTCTAAAAATTAACAAAGTTGATTTATGGATCATTAAAAAATGCAATAAAATTTTATCAGTATATGATTCTTTAGAAAATAAATATGATACAGTATGTTTTATAAGAAACTAGCTTGTCAGACAGACATTGTTCTGCCCTTTTCGACGACCTTTTGTCATGTCCTATTAAAAATCCTTAAATTCGCAAAAAACTATCCTATCTCTCAAGTTGGACCAAACTGCACACGGTGTGCGCAAATTTGATTAAAATCGGTAAAGTAGTTTAGGAGTCCATCGCCGACAAATGTGACACGTAATTTATATATATTAAGATTATAATACTTAACATTACAATCTGTCAAAGTCCACTGATCAAAATAGGCCTCCCAATAGATTGCTACATAGAATATTTGCCATAGTTGCCATTAGGAATATCCTGGGGCCCACCTCCTCATTTGTTTCAATATGTCGCCTTTTACGATACTCATAGAACAATTAGATTAATACTTAACAAACTATTAACTATTGTTCAATAAACAACATATTTAATTACTTATGAATTTAAAAACTTATTAAAAGTCATTTATGCTTTTACCCACGGTTCAGAAAAAAAAACTGTCCTGAGAAAAACCAGCCAGAAACACAGCAGGACTATTTAAAAAAGTATTAATTTACAATATAATGTTTTTAGACATCTCTTTAGGCTGTGTGGAAGTTAATGTTAATATATAACATCCTGATATTTAAAAAGTACACTTACAATAGTATTCGGCACATTTGGCTTAACATGCATAAGGTGAATATCCAGCCCTTGAATGTTTGTTTTGAAATGATTGTATTTGTTGAAGAATTGTTCTCTATCTTTAAAATTGTAACTATTTTGCCAATAATCAAGAACTCTGGTTAGAAAGTTTGAATTAAAGCCATAAGTAAATCCAGTGTCATCAAGAGGTGGAGGAAATGGTCTGCGATGAAGAAGTCTTTCTCGGAGGTCGTTCACAATCTGAAATATTTAAATTGATTTTTGTTACATTATTATGAAGACCCTAGAAGGTAATACTGCATGACATGGAAAATGATCATGTTGTATAACAGACTTTCATGCCATCATCAATCTGATAGCATTTCATATTAGAAAATAGGGACATACTCAACTTTGTCCTTGTAGTTGTCCTGGGCCTGGTCTAGTAAAATGGTCCAAGCTGTAGTGAAATTATCGTTTTTCAAAATGTTATGTGACACAGTCAGGCTATTATAGATTTATATTACCTTGTTATTTTTCTATGCAGCAATATACAGAATTCTGTTTTAAGAAATATTTCACTAGTTTTTTTGTGTTTATATTTTTCTTTTTGTGAATTTACAGTGACATTTAATACATTGATGTTAATGACAATGTAAATTTATTAATGTTTTGAGAATGCTTGCTATATTCCCTTTCATCAATGTTAATTGATGCAAGGGAATATAGCAAGCATTCATTTCTGAGAGGTTTTAGGGCAAGGACATGTTTCCCATGCTGCCCCAATACATGTTATTGAATTTCAAATGTCTTTGAATTTTTTTTTTCATATTTCTCAGACATGCAGATTTCCTAATGATGTTTTACTTCACTGCTGAGCATGTTAAATCATAACTTAAAATAGAAAATAACAATTTCATTGGTGCCCGGGGGGATCGAACCCAGCTTAGCCCCTAAGCTAACATGTCTCCTATTGTAGCTTTCAGGATTAAAAACTACATGAATTGTAAATTAAAATGTACTTCGCACTTCATTAGCATCAATCAATACAAGTAAATAATCGTTCATGCACAGCATGTAAACTAAGTTATGCTACACCACAAACTAGCAGATCAAATACTGATTTAATATTAGATTATAATAAATACAAAAATCACTTACTACATCTGAAAATTCTATCTTGTAAGGCCTTATCGATAAATCCTGTTTGAGATTCATAGGGTATGGACCCCAATATTCATTCATATCTATATTAGGTAATTCAGGTGTTGTTGTGAGTACATTGTAGACATAATAAGATGCTAGTACACCTAGAACCGCAAAGATCGAAAATATCTTCCCCAGCTGAAATAATAATATCTGATCATTACGAATTTCTTATGGTGGTTTTAAGTTGTAATAAGGTTTTATTTTTGATAAGGAAACTTACCGAAAAAGTCGTGGAAGTTTGTTTATTCTTATAACTTTCCTTCTTTTTATTATCCTTTTTATTTGCTTGTTTCGTTTGCTTGTTGCTCATTTTAGCTAAAATATTTTTTATTACAAAACCAACAAACACCGGCAATCTTGTATTATATAGGCACTTTGGGAGCCTCAACTATATTATAAATTAATATAATAATAGCATACAAATTGCATAACCTAATATCTCGATTTTACTAAGCTATTACTACAAAAATTCTTTGATCAAAACAAATCTAACAAAGCAAAATTCAAATTATCACTGGCCTACTGGCTGCGCGTGGCCGCATAGTACGTGCTAGGGATGTTCGATGATCATCGATGTTAAAAATTAAAACATCGATGTTGACACATGACAAACATCGAAACATCGATGTCAATGAACCCATAATCGATATATAAGAACTTGTGAACAATGAGAACTCCTTGCGCCCTCCTTTCTGCCAAGGAGGGTCGCGTTCGTATACAGCTTAGAGATCTCTAGTCAGATCGTTAAGCCAGTTCCTAAAAGGTTGGGTTTAGTGGGTAAAAGTCACCACATAACCACGCAGCCGGCTGCGTGTTATGCTATGAGCATCTCAACCTCCCTCCCCCGCTTTCCGGAGGGTTGCCCATATTTGCTTCGGGTGCAAAAAAAAAATGAGAACCCGCGAAATCAATATCCACTAAATCTTGCATTTTCTATTAAAGGTTTGAAATTTTGAATAATTCGGAATTCAGAATTCCTAAACTCCTATGGTGTATCAAATTTAACTGTCAAGTTTGAACTCTAATGTAACAGTTGTCACTGCTTTCGCTTTGTTATTCTGTGGTGTCGTTATCGGTTATCGCTTAATAACTATTCTACGTAAATTGAAATTCAAATTCATTGTTTTTTTCCCGTGCTGTCTATACCCAGTAATTTTGAAACAATATGGAAGTATCTACACAATTCAATTATAAACGGCTGTGGAAACATACTGCTTAGGCTGCCTGATTAAAAACTGTGAACAAAGATGACGGAAAAGTCTATTATTTCGTTTTTGTGTAGTTTGTTAATATCTTCTCTATAATTAGTGATTAATGTATATAAAACCAACGTCTAAATCGTAAATTAGGCCCCATAGTTAATTTTTCATCCTGGATTTATGAGTGTATAGGAACATTTAAAGATCAAAATAATAACATGCATCATCATCGGCAAAAATATAACAAATGAACTAGATATTTGTGAACGTCTTCCCATTTTATAATTACTGTTTGACACTAAAATTTTTATTAATTTATTTTATTTTATTAATAATAAACCATAAAAAACATAACTAATTTTGTATTCATCTAATTTTAACCTATTAAATAGGTACATGTAAAAACATCGATAATGGCCAACATCAATGTTTTGAATAGCATAAACATCGAGCTTCGATGATAAGCTATCGATACCAACATCGATGACATCTTTCCAACTTATTGTTTTGGTTAAGAGATTACTGATGAGTTTATAACGGTTTTTATGAGAATTTATCAGTTAAATAATTTATAAGATAATCCCAATCAGAAGACGATCAGATTGTATGGGATTGATCGAAAAAATATTTTATTGGCGTACACTTTAAAACAGCAATTGCGGATAGTTAATCGTTTTAGTTAGTAGTAGTATATTAAATAGAAAATAACGCAGCTTATAATAATCTATGAGAACCTATTAGCACTATCTGGTTAGTCTTATAATGTGCTATTCTATTAAAAGTTTTCAGGTAGTTCATAGAATAAAACGATCAGATTGAGTGAGCTTGATTCAATTACATTTTTTTTCATGTACTGTATGTAATATTGCGATGTTCAAGATTGGGGTTTCAGTAATTAGTTGTTAGTTCATATTTTTTTAAACTTAAGTTTGAATGAATATAAAATTGAATCTTTATTGTATATTTTCTTATGATTTCTAATATTCTATAAATATTACTTGATACCAAGTAGTATCGATATTTTTGAGTCGATACTTTTATAGGTATCGATACTTTTTATTCGATATTTGGTATCGAGTAGGTGTCGACACTTAAAAATTTGCGGAACCCTATTTACAGTCCGTTTCATGAAAGAAGGTTGCATCTGCGAAGTTGGTTCATAAACAACTAATTTCGCAGATACTACTTACCGACGAATTTTCAGGGACGGGCGGGCTATGCTAGCCGGAGCCGATCGTTAGTCAGCATATAAAATTGGGTTTACAAATGGGTTCCAACTTGCTATGTACCGTGTGTCTGTCGAGACTTAGTATTCATAACTTCCTAACTATTAGTTTTTAAAGTTTGCGAAACGAATATTTGCAATGGAATATAATGATCATCATCACTGGATAATTTAGTATTTTCTTATTTTTATTTTCTCCTACATATGATCAGTACAACAAACTAAGTAATTATAGGTTAGCCAACATAGAACGCACGCACCCCGAGGACTAACGAGAAGATCCTGGAGCTGGAAGAAGAAAGTTGCGCTGGAATATTATAGGATTATCCTAGGTCCGAAGAGAGGTGGACGACACGGTGATCTTTGAATCTGGCAATTTGTTCTGTCACTGGGAGGGTGACCATCTGTCCCAAGGAGGTGTCGGATTTATCGTACACAAGTCTCTTGTTAACAAAGTTTTAAAGATTGGAAGTGTGTCGCAAGGGTTGCGTACCTTATACTCAGATTCATTAAACGGTATTCGTTGAGAGTTATTCAGGTTTACGTACCAACCTCGGCACATCCCAACGAGGAGGTAGAGGAAACGTATGAGGATATCTATAGAGCCATGCATTTCGCCGAGACCTACTATACGGTATTAATGGGAGACTTCAACGAAAAACTAGGCTTAAGAGAGAACGATGACCTGAAGGTAGGAAAATTTGGAATAGGGATAGCGGAATCCAAGGGGCATGCAGTTGGCCGACTTTATGGAGAAAGAGGGGCTCTTTATGATGAACTCTTAGTTCCAGAAGCGGTCCCACAGAAAGTTCAATTAAGAACCCTATCCGTACAGTAGGAGCTGTAACTACTATACTAGTTAATCATATACTCGTAAACACTTTTTCATAAAGCCTGCCGACTCCGGAATAATATGTTCCATTATTAAAAACTTAAAAAGGAAAATAGCGCTGGTTATATTACAGAATCTTAGTGTTGCCCAAAATCGGTCTTGGTCTTGCAGTCTTGGTCTTGTTCTTGCATTTTTGCAAGACCAAGACCAAGAACAAGACCGCCTAATTTTAGCAAGACCAAGACCAAGACTGACCGTGCAAGATTTGAGCAAGAACAAGACTAAGCCTGCGAGACTCTTGCGTCTTGCAGTTAGGAATGAGTGTCGTTTCAGGGAGTATAAGAGTTCGGGTATACGCTTAGGGACTCTATGAGACGCAAAAAATATATAAAAAAATTTGGAAAATTGGACTTATGCGCATTACGAACAATACCATAAACATACATAGCGGATGAAAATACCCATTAAAAGAAAAACAGTGCATCCCTAGTTTTGACCATCGGCGCTTTGATAGTGCGTGGCGTCTTGTTGTTGGCATCATCAAAGGTCGAATACTGACCCGTCAAAGAAATTTTGCAGCTATTCGGAAGTACAAGGTCAAGATACACGTGCTGGCGGCTTCTATTGATATCGCATTCAATCGTCGCCGCCGCGCCGCACGCACTACATTTGACACTGTTTGAATGCCGCCACAGAGTACATGATCCAAAGAATAAAATAAGTTTCCGGGTGCTCAGAATGTAGACGAATACATTATGCTGATCTCGCAAGGAATATTGTAATTAGATAATGGTAAGGATAGGTAGATACCAATTAAAAAAAAAAAACACAGGACCCAAAACATATACTTTCCTACTCCGACTTGCCATTCACATCCCATAAATTCTTTTCACTCTTTCCTCATCTCTCCCTCCTTCTTAATCCTGGTCACAACATCATCTTCATACCACATTTATCTCTTATCACCAATTTCTCACCCTGTCATTCAGAATTTTTAATTATGAATAATAATTTATTCTAGTAAGTAATTATTATAATATTAACTATAAGGGTTTATAATAATTACTTACTATTATTATTATTACCTAATAGATAAACATGTTCAATAAGTTCACTGCAAATCTCGATTTTTGGAAGTTGTTTTTGAACACAAAGTGTTCGAATATGTCGTCACCCATTTGATAAATATTGCAGACACTTTTAACACACTTGAAACGTGTAAACATTTTGTACAATGCTAATCGAATAATATAAAAAGTGTGCATATTAAATAAAAAGCGTAAAATAAGATCTATGTACTTTTTAGGAGCCCGAGTATCTCTTAGAGAACCGTTTAAAGAAATTGATTGCATCGAATTGATGTAAATAATAGTGATTTGCACAATTTTAATAGTAGAAATAAAAATAAAATCACAATACCTGCTTTCCGGTTACACAAAGTATATAATGCGTTCTTGGGATATACGCTTTTATAATAAGATTCCAAAAGAAATGTTAGATCTTTCACCTTTTCAATTTAAGTCAGACAAAAATGCTTGGAACTGACCTCTCGTACTACACAGGACTAACTAGAAATTTCTAAACCGATTTGGTATCTACATATACATTTGACATTTTATGTTTGACTTATCGCTTTACATAATTATAGAACTATTGTAAAAATATTTTGAAAAGAGCAACTACTGAGTTTCTTACTTTCTTCCATGATTCTCCTCAGTCGAATCAGAACCCCTGGACATAGAAAAGAAAAAATTGGGGAAAACAGTGATTATATGACTATTCAAAAGTGTATTTTTAATGCCTACTTGAATAAAACATATTTGAATTTTGAATTTCAAACGAGTGAAGGCAAATTTAATTTAAATAACGTAGATTAATTCAATCACAAGAAGAACATAATATACACAATTTTATTTACATATTTACATTTCATTTTTACTTAGGCACGCTATACCTATCTGGCAACGCATCTACTTTATAAGGATGCCGAACTTTCCTTTGTCGGTCTTTCGGCGTGTACTTACAAATAGTAGTATTTATTTTAATTCCAGTCA